CCTGCTGGAGCTATTGGCTGACGCTGCTTTTTAAAAATAGACAAGTAGGTACAAGTTGATCAGGGACCAAACTGGACTTTAAACATGCTGAAAAGCCAAGCTGGGACAGAAACTAATTCTACTTTTAACTGACCATCTGAGCAAACAAAGAAAAAAAAAAGTCTTCCTAAGCTATTTGTAGATCCTTTGGATTTAAGTCTCCCTACAGGTGTCTTCCCCTGCTGCTATGTTTTGATGCCTACATAAACACACACAGATTCGAGGTCATGCCTGTTCAGAAATCAGGTTATGCAATATCATTTAAAACTTGAAAAATAAGAGAGAAATGGGAATGAGAAGCTTAGGCGTGATGAAATCCAGGCATCTGGCAAAACAGTGTCTCCTCAGAGACTGCAGAGAAAAACGATGTAACAAAGATGACCTAAGAAACCCACAGCACAGGACAATGTTCACCACCTCTGTCAGTTTTATTGGCGAGGTCAATGCCTTGCTTCATTGTCAGACTGATAAGAGATGTGGTACAGCTTCACAGAGTGACTGCAAATGCTGACAGCTGAGGAAGAGGGAAAGGCAGCCACAAGTGTGATTTGTCACTGTTCCCATTGTAAATCCATGCTATCAGGGCATCTGAAGTGACCTGTTTCTGTTCTCATGCTGCATTTAGAGAATCCCAACCAAAAAGAAAACAAGTTTTCTTCCAAACCAGACATTGCACTGGGTTTTTAGGACTCCCTGTAAGCTCTAGGAAGAACACAGTTACACATCTAATGCCTTCCTTCACTGCTTCCAGTCTGACCAGCCTGTCTCAGGATGGGTGAGAACTGGTAGTACACACCAGTCAAACAACAGGCACCCAGAGCAATTTTCCTATCTAACACTCCCCATGGGGCTTCCATAAAATCTCAGGCCAGACCTCCGGCATGCCACCAAAATGACCCAAAGGCACCACGAAGAGGGCATACTTACTCCCAGAACTCCGTGACAGGAGAGGTGAAGTTAGTGGCATTCAGCGATATCCAGAGCGTTTTGTTCTTCCTGAGAGTGTCTTCCACGCAGGTTGGCGTGTTCCACTTCTGGTGGCAGTGTGCCCACGGCAGGACGCTCTGGAACGACTGGAACAGGTAATAGAGTCCCCAGGCCAGGATCACAATGTAGTACACGTTCCGCAGGGACACGATCACTATGGAAGCATAACCAATTCCTGCCGAGAGGGGGAGAGAAAAGAAATACGCACAGACGTGACAGCTGCTTCTTGCTAGGGTCCTCACGGAGCTGGTACTATGCCCACTGCATGGTGGACTGGTATCCTGCTCTACCGCACTGCTGCTGGAAACTCACTCAACTCAACTCAACATAAGCACAGAAGTGCCACCATCTCTCACTAGCATCGGTACTCAAGGTTGAACTTCTGGCTATGGTTTGCTGACACTGGATGTCTACCCAATTTTACACTGACCTGGCTATTTCAACTTTTATTAAAAGTAAGTCAAAGTGTCATGCTTTGCTTATTTGGGAGCTACACCATCTCACTTCTTAAGTACCTACATGGGCAACCTCATTCTCACCACACTGTCCCTCAAGCCAGCTTCCCTGGAGGCGGCTCAGCTGGGCAGCCCCTGCACCACTCATCGACTGGCTCGGCTCAGCCTACATGCAAAAAAAAAAAAGACAGCTCTTGAATAGTTAAAAAGGAAAATTTCAAAGCTATTAATGTGAAAGCTGCTGTTTCTGACCCAGTTTCATTTGTGCAAAGGAAGCACGATATTCGTAGCTGTTACGGGTAATTAGATCAATGTTTAACTCTGCTATCAATATTTGATGATAAAAAAATGTTCCCTGTTTGTTTTCATAAGCAGGGTCATGGGCAGATAAGGGCCAGTCCTACACAACTTCGGGAGGTGGCGGAAGGCTGTTCTGGTGAAGGCTTTCATTAAATACCACAACTGCTCTCCTCAGTCTGGGGTCTCTCTCTTCGCATGGCAGTTTAGCTCCACCAGCAGATCCACACTATGACTTCAGTCAGAAGCAGTCACTGCTTTTTCAAATACAAAATGAAAGGACTCTGAAAGGTCCTCTTTACTGAAAACGTTTTAGATCCAAAAAGCTTACAATGTTTGCCATTTAGGAACAACACGGGGAAAAAAAAAAGGTATTTCCTTTAAAAACTTAGAGCAGTCTCTTACAAAGAGGATGGAAAGCCTATGAGGTCCCCTTTAACATCATTCTGATGGCTAATCCAGCACCTGGAATACCTGCCTCATATTTAATAGTTTCAAACCTTATTGCTACAAAAGTCTTTACCACCGGAGATTATTTTTATGCCAAATGAAAACAACCAGAGCAAGCCCTATTTATTCTGTACAGCTGCAATTCATTCAGGATATACAGTTAGTCACATTATTAGAGCTACAATTTCTCTTTGGAGGCCTGGGAGATTGTTATTTAAACAAGGAACATGCCTTTCTCCTCCTCAAAAAACAAAAAAAAAGGTTTCATAAAAGTGGGAGGAGGAGGAAGAAAATAGAGCTAAAGCAGCACATTTACATCGACTTCAGCAGCGTTCTGAGTTTTAGGTGGGAGAAAGCCCTGACTCCTGTCTGGGGTGACCTGAGAGGAGGAGGACGCCTGGAGCAGTGACAGGGGCAGAGACATGACAGTGTGAAGCGCCCACTCTTTCCAAATGAGATTTGAAGAGTGAGCAGTGAGCAAAGGCCCTTGAATACCAGCAGACCAACGTGCCATGGTGTCAGGACCTGCTCGGCTATGGCCAAAGTCCCATTCCTGACTCCTACCCCAAAATGCTGTCCTAGTTTTGGCTGTATCAGCAACCAATGATGCCAATGATGAGCTTTCACAAGGCAGAAACAGTTTGATTTCCAGACCAGAAAATATTTGGAAGATGCTTTCACTAACACCATGTAAAAAGCTCTAGCCTTCCAAAACAACACTTTCTCCGAAACCTGTGAACAAAATGTGCAGTTGCCTTTTTGAGGCATAATACACAATTTCTTTCTTGCTTATCAACAGCTCTGCCAGTTAACAAGATGATAGCATCAAAATCAATACCTTACTTTGTCCTTCAGACTCTCTGACTTCTACCTTTCCAGGAACCAACATCATACCCTCGATTACTAGAGCAAATTGCTAAATTAATGGACACAAGGGGAATAGTATTGTTGTGCATGGTTTACAGAGGTGTCTTTAAGCAGTAAAGCACGAGAAGATGTACTAACCAGTAAAAATAGGGCAGATCTTTTCCCAGCATGTAATTCCACCTTCAGAGGTATACTGTCCTAGCACCACCTCCAGGAAAAACACAGGAAGACCTCCCCCAAACAGGAAAATGAAATAAGGTATAAGAAATGCACCTGTTGAGGAAAACAGTACAAAATTGAGACGGAGTGAGTGACTTTACACAAGATCATCTGAAAACTGGTAACAGGCGTATATAAGCAAAGAAACATATCTGACACTTTAATATCACTGTAGGACAATCTTATTCTATGCTATTTTTTCTCATATTCAAACTCTGCAAACGGAATGGGTACATACAGCTGGAAAGGACGTTTTCTTACCTTTTTAGAGTGAAATTCTGCAATAACAATGGTCTGAAATCCTGCTGGTCTATATTAATAGCCTATCTTTTGGTTAAAAATCAGTCTCATTTGTAGCAGAATTAAAAGAGCAGAAAAGGTTCATTAGTATAAAATGTTAAATTGCTGTAATTTTCCCCTGATTAAGTTTTAATAACAACTGTTGAGTAATAAAACAATCTCTCTTTGAGACTGCTGAAGAAGGCAGAAAAGAGATGTGTGAGTATTCCTTTTAAAAACTGGACAAAGGCAGTGAAAAATGTGAAAACCAGCAAGCACAGGGCAGACAGATTGATTGACGAAAAGGGAATAAATACTCACCTCCGCCATTTTTGTAGCAGAGATACGGAAACCGCCAGACATTGCCTAAACCAATAAATCCACCAGCCACGGAGAGCAGAAAGTCAATCTTGCTCGCCCACTTCTCCCGCTGGGGCGGCTTCCCCTCTGCCTCATCCTCCGGCCGCGTCCCCGGGCTCTTCCCAGGGGAAGGTTTGAGGATGTCCTTGTGGAAGTCTTTCAAGCACTGAAGCTTCTCCTTGGTTGCCATATTTCTGCTTTCTACATAGAAAAAGAGGAGAAAAATGTGGGTTTATTAGGCAGTCTTTACTGGTAGAGCTCTTTAACAGTGCAAGAAGTGTTTAACCAAACTCAGACATGAGGTGTGTAAAGCCTGCGCACAGCATCGTCATCAGCAAACGCTGTTACTGAGCACGCATCTCGTGCTGCTGCTGTGCCCATAACAAGGTACAGATCACTGCATCTTATTCCTTCTCCAACATTTAAGTGAAATACAGCAGAGCAGTAAATCTCACTTTTCCAGATAAAACCCATTTCTCGATTTCCCAATAACCTGAGCCATCCTGTATCATTTATTGCCTGCAATTTCCTTTCCCTGAAGTATTATAAAGCTTTCAGAAAACTATACATTCATAAAAACTGGAATGGAAAGTCATTTGTCCTAATCAACCTGCAGGAACTGAAGGCATCTTTTCAGTTTATTCCATTTTCATAACTGCACTGTTTTCCCTTGACATCAATAAAGGGACAAGAATAAACCTTTCTATTCAATTATTGCCTTATATGCACCTATGCAATTGAACAGTTTGCCAAGAACGATGACTCCTCAGTTAATTAAAAGGCCAGTGGCATGAGTCACCTGATGCAAAACCCAAAGCGTATTAAATCATAGCTGGTTTTATAATTTATTTATTTAATGTATGATGTTCAAAAGTCACAGACTGTGTAAAAACAATAACAGAAATAATAAATCCAGGAATTCCTAATGAAAACAATTTAGGAATAACTTGTAGCTTTATCAGACATCTCAGCATACGAGGTCAATTCATTCCCCACATAACTCAAGTGACTTTAGCCAGTTCTGGCCAGTTATTTTTGCATAGTGTTTTGATACTGAAAAACACGTGGAATTTTCACCAGAACCAGGCAAACCAGCGAGTTTATTCCAGACCACAACCATTCCCTGCCTGTACGTGTCATTATGGTTGCAGAGTCATTTAAAAACATCACGCTCCAGATTATCCCATCGATAGCTGCAAGCTTCCCTCGTACCTGCTTGCTGGTTTTGATCTCCAACCTGATTTCGCTTGTGGCAGTGACCTGAAACCTGAGTTGACATTCGCTCTGCAGGAAGTTTTTAATCTGAACATGATTTTGAGATAGATACACATCACTGTACCCGTAAGCCTTTCCATCCACCACGGAAAGTTTCTGAAGGCTAATGCTTTTGCAAACCACAGCGGCTCGATATTCGCCCCGCTGACATATCGGTGGCCTTTGCAAAGTGGTTATTGTGACAGCAGCCGCCTATCAGGCCACCATCTACAAAAGGCCTTCAATCTTCACATGCTATTCATTATGACTTACTAATGGTTTGGGTTTTTTTCTTAAAAAAGGCCACTGCTGACTTGCTGGCCATTGCAAGAGGGGACAGGAGCAACTGCAATACCCCCGGATCAACAGCAGAGAGAGCTCCCAGAAGGAGAAGTTAATCACGGGGAGATGGATCATCACCACCCACCACAGGGGTATGGGAGCAGGACACGTATTCCTCTACTTGCCTGCTGTTAGAGACATGGTATGACACAAAGTAGTGTAATAACTGAATAAAAATGGTAAGGCCAGCTCTGCAACAGTCTTTGGGCATCTAGGGAAATAATTCCCAAGAGCTAACTCATGTTCCTGGTGTCATGCATGGAGATGAATGGAGGTGCCTCCAAGAGCGATTCAGAGTAGTCTGAACCTCCTTGGGACACCCAAGGCCCACACAGGCATCACTCTGCATCACCCCTGGAGACTAAAAACCCAAAGAAGTAGATGCAACCACTTTGCTTCAAGGAGGTACCTACAAGGCTGCTGATGTCCTGCTCTCACTGCGAGAGCAACCAGGCATGAAGAAAGCCAAATTTCACCTTATTTTGCCTTTTGTGCTGCTCGAATCCCTATCTTTCATCTCGCAGGAGAATGTCATACCCATCAGGCAACAGGCTATTCTGGGCTGAGGAATGGAGGGCATCCAGACCGTCCCCCGTGGAAGCTGTTCTTCACAGGGGTTACTGAAATCCTCATCGACAGAGGAAGAAAGCGCACGAAAGAGAGAGTAACTCACACCTAGTATTGAGGGTATGTTCGTGTTTTCAGGTAATTTTTCGGTGAACTGCTAGGACAGCCGTAAACCTACTTAACAGGGCACAGAGATATATAGATTTATAGATTCCTGCAGGATTAAGGTTTGAAATGGGAGCTTAACTGCTCCCTGTGGGGATTGATACTGAAAATACCACGAAACAGAACACTGGGCACACGGGCAACCTTTATCCCAAAAAAACCCAGGGGACCTACAGACATCAGCCACCTCAGAGATGAAAAACTCCTCCAGGACTGCAATTATTTTGCAATCCACTTTTATCTTGCGGCACAGAGGTCTTTATTTTTCTGCCAGCTCTAATCTGCTTCCCTGCGGATTTATGTTGACCCAAGTGTTACTCAGTTCTACCCAGAATTTGCAAGCCTGACCAATTGATTGCATTCTGTAAACCTTAACGCTCCCCGGGACACAGTGATCACCCTGCGGTTTGTCCTAATTACCCGCACACAAAGTGCGAAACGGTGCTTTTTCAGACTCTCCCTTCCTAACTCCGTGGGGCTGCATTTTAAAAAGGGATTTCTAATTTGTCTTAAGACATCTCAAATTAACAGCCACGCTTGAAAACCTAATTACTGAGTGTAAATTTTGTTTCAGCATTAGCTGGAGTGTGAAGATGGATCGTGATCTTTCCCTTCGCCCGCAAATGACAAATCCCCAGGGTCACGCTTGCTTTTGGGGTGGCTGCTTTATCATATGGGGGCCAGGAGACCACCATGGCTCTGTTGCTAGTCACCAGCCCTCTTTAGCAGGGCAGAGTGCAGTACCCATTCAACGTCTGTGCAAAATTAATAACAGCCTGGTCTTACTGTGAACCTCTTATCCAGTCTTACTGAAATCCTGCCTGCTTTTCGGGGGCCAGCAGCTGTGGCTGGCAGGCACGTACTGTCGACCAACACCATAGGAATTGACGCTAAGCGGCCACCTGGGACTGTGGTCCCAGCCCGTGTCACGTTCAAGGGATGTCAGATTTATCCCCCTTTGCTGCCAACCATTGGTGTCCACCCAGCCATTCCCAATTACAGGAACTGTCTACAAAGGCTGCGAGGGTGGGGGGTACGGGCGATTCTCCTCGGCAAAGAAAAGCCAAGAAAATCAAGTTTGTTTAGTGAAAGGCATTGTCTTTTTCCTTAATGGGGTTGGAGTTTCATTTCCTTTAGTTATGTCCCACTGGGTGAGGTTAAAATGGCTCTTAAGGGAAATAGTCTGACAGAGATGCTGAAACAATATGTTGTCACCGCCCAGGTCAGCACCAGAGAATAACAGGTTATTTTTACTGTATCACTTAGTGGGGATGGCATCCGAGATCCAAGTCCATCTGACTCCCCCAAGGAAATATATTGTAAGAAAATGCTCTTACATCCACATAGTCCAAAATGAGCGATCCAACTCTTGAGACACACGTTTGCCTCCCACGGGCCACATCTGCCTGTGAGAGTGCTCCCTCCGGGACATCTTGGATGGCCTCAGGAAGCTCTGATGAACTTAATATGGATAAATAAAAAGCAGCAGTCAAGCCTGCCATTTACAGGGTGCTACCAGGCTGAGTCCAGCCAAACAGCCAGAGCATGGTCCGAAAGCAAGGGGAGAAAGGATCCAGACTGTGCCAAGTCCAGGCTCTGCTCTCACACACACTGGCACAAACCCTAACTAACTGAGGGTGAAAGTATAGATTGTCAGATCGATGCTGGTAAAACACGGAAAAATAGGACAAGGGAGCCAGCGCAGGGGCTTTGCTCTTCGCAAGCATCTGCTCCCTGGTACGGCCAGGAGCACCTCAAAGGCTTCTCTCTACGTGCAGAAGAATCACGTGTCTGTCCCTTGAAATTTCCTCTTGTGAAATACCCCTGCAATAACCCAGGCTCTCTTGCTGCCCTCCTGTGACTCAATAGTTTTTGGTGCACAGCTGAAAATACTGAAATACCAGCTATAAGGAGAGCGCTTTCACAGCCAACTCAGCTTGGGCCATCTACTGCGCTACAGCTATCGTATCTTTGCATGTACAGCCTGCACCTCAGATAACCCATACCATTTAAAAACCACTGCCATTGAAACGTAATCCTTCATAACATGCAAAAAATGAATGTTAGGGGAAAGGAGAGGCACTGGGCAGAGGGATCAGACAATGAGTGATGGAGATGGCCACCAGCGCGGACAGGACCTGCTGGTTGTCAGATGGACACAACCCACATC